GATAGAGAATTGTTTGTTACTTCTCTTAATTAAGGACATTTTTTCTGGGACGAGTCTCACTTACACTTTTTGTCGTCCTCCATGGCTTGGTGCATAAAAGGGGGGGGGGGTACACAGGCAGATGAAGTACTATTCACGGTGAGCTGCATTGCTGCCGCACTTTTGAAGGAATAGCATAGGGGGGCATTTCCGAACATCCCCTCTTAAGCCTAAGTTTGAAGTTTCCTTTCGTGCTTCATCGTGCTCTCTGTCCAGTTTTCTTATTTTTTACTATGTATACCTGCTTCAAAGTGATCGTTTTATCACATGTGTGTTTTTTTAAGCGTTCAGAGCTCTTTTCTTACATTGCAAAACTGCGGTAGAAAGGGCTAGCCTGCAATTTGCGATACAACTCTACTTATTCTATTTTGTATTTTTGAAAGGTGGCTACTTTCTGACGAAACGCATTTGCATAATACTCCCCACCCCCCATTCTCTCTCTCTCTCTCTCTCTCTCTCTCTCTCTCTCTCTCTCTCTCTCTCTCTCTCTCTCTCTCTCCCTCCCTCCCCCTCTCTCTCTCCTTCTCTTTTCCCTCTCTCCCTTTTTCCCCCTCTCTCTCTCTCTGCGTATGTATTTTCTCTCTCACTTTTTCTCTGAACTGGAACCTCACCCTCTGCTACACCCAACCTACATGTGAGAACAATGTGAACACACTAGTAACAAAGTACAGGACTTAAGAAGAAAGCCGTGCACACTTTTACTCTGGCCCCATTCACTCGCAGATGGTACTTCATGGACCACGATCTTCTGCTTTCTCTCTCCTTTTTCTCCACAGGCTCGACACAGTCAACCAACCCTTTAACAAAAGCAGCCTTTTCTGATTTTACATTTATTGGTAAGACATTTATAATCAAACGCCTCCTTCAGAGCAAAACGTTATCGCCTTGATCCACGATGGCGGGCTACCTAAACGAATTAGACGGTTAGAATTCTTCAGTCACGGAAGCCAGTCGGAATATACGGTTAGAATTTCTCTTTAAAACAAGACTTTTGTTTGTCAAAATTGTTCTAGATTTTAAAAGGACGTAGCCATTCGTCATGTCGATCTATTTTAAGGAAAAAAGAATTTTATTTATAATCAAACGCCTCCTTCAGAGCAAAACATTATCGCCGTGATCCACAGTGGCGGACTATCTAAACGAATTAGACGGTTAGAATTCTCTGCCGACGATATATTATTTATATATACACACACACACACACAAAAATATCTATAACTCTTTAACTTTCTATCTCACCCTGTCTCTCCCTCTACCTCTCCCTCCCCCCCCCCCCCCCCCGCCCTCAATTCACCGAGTGTGGGCTCCTCTCTACATCTCACTATCTTCATTCTCTTACCTGTCTCCTCTTATTATTACGTACTTTACTTTTCATATATACAATCTCAATTAGCACTCGAGGATTATGCTTTGGTGCATTTCGTTTTTGTCTAATGTTATGCACTTGTAACAGATTGCTAGAATGTAGATTGTGTATATCCGTTGCCTTTTCGTATCAATGATTATGTTTGGATGAGTCAGGCAAGGAGTCAGCGGATACATGAAACCCCCCCCCCCCCAAAAAAAAAAAAAACGCTCCGAAAAACCTTGAGTCGCGATACTGTTCTCTTGAATACTGCTTTCAAAGCGGATGATTAATAGCACAATAGCCTATTACCAACCCATATGCTAGCTATCATTATAATAATTTTAAAATAATAATAATTTTTAAAAAATAAATAAAAATAATAATATTGTTGTCGTTATATCGTTGTCATTGTTTTCTTCATCATCATCATCATCGCCATCATCATCATATTACATTGTGTCCCCAAAGGCCGAACACAAAGGAAATCTCATGCAACCCACGTAGAACGCATAAAGAACAACAAAAATGTTCAATTTGACGGCAACGTGGATTTATTTCATTGGGTTCACGTGAATCTTTCAAAGCGCATCGACCTTATCGTCTCGTATGGGGATAACCATACTGAAGATGTTATTTACTAATGCTCTTATGGGAAAAAATGTTAAAAATGTAACGTTTATATTTCTTGAAAATATTCATTTTGCCTATGTGCTCAAACTTAAGGGGTATCCTGCTTTATATCCATGTAGATATGAGATAAGATATATAAAAAGCAGGGTATATTTATGACGCTGGAATGGATGAATACACGAAATAGAGCACATTGAATTATTAATACACGGGTGGCTGGGGGAGTGAAAGAATGATAGATGGGTGAAAAGTCGGACTAATAGATGGGTTGACAAATAATTCTGATTGATGCCGGATAGCTATTATATTACCCAAATACGCTTGTCCTACCATAAACTACCACGCCCCCGCCCCCCCCCCCCCCACACACACTCCTCTCACACTAATTCCTCTCATACCTGGTCGTTATACTTACTACTCTCCTAAGCAGTAAGCAGGACGTAATATAAAAGATTTCTTATCCACTTATCTTCTGTCTTCTGGAGTAACAAGTGTGCATCATTGCGGACCCCGGTTCAATTATCATCTCCCTAAGGGTACGTGCAGACGTAGTGTGGAATGTGTAGGGGTGCCGAAGTGGATTCCCTCCCTTATCTGCCGCCTGCTACTTTCTCTGTTGGTGGTTCTAGAGAGTGGCACGTACGAGTTCCACAGAACTAGAAAAGGAAAAACGGTGCAGCTACCCTTTATTATATGGATCCAACCCCATTTCACACTGGGCGTATGGAATGTAATAAAGATGCATGGTAATTAGAAAGCAACAGAAGGTGAGCCTCTTAATCACTACACCACACTGACCCCTCGTAACCGTGGCTGTTTGCATTCGCGCAACATCTTCCATGTAAGAATAACTGCATGCATCAGGTGCGTGCCAAGAACGTTGCTTTGATGCCGCTTCTTAAAACTTTTGCACTTAAAACGATTTTTTTTCAACGCTGTCCAAAGCGCAGATGCTTTCCTCCGGAAAGGAGAGATCTAATATTATTAATAATATATTGAACCTTTGTAGTAAATTACTTATTTTTGTTTGTTTGTTTTGTCTTTTTTTATTTTCTTTCAAAGCTCTCCTCTGTTCCGACCGATACCTTGACGGGATTGGGGTATTTTTTTTTCCAGAGACGCCGTGTAAGCAAAATCTTGAATAAATGGGTATCCAGTAGACACCTGTGCAGCGTGTCTGGGTAGTGTCAGAGATGTGTTGCCAAAGAGTAAATTATACAGCAGTTGACTGATGGTACCGATTTATATCACTTTTCTTTGGTAATTCTAGTTCCCCGACCCCCCTCCCCCCCCTCTCTCTATCTCTCTCTCTCTCTCTCTCTCTCTCTCTCTCTCTCTCTCTCTCTCTCTCTCGCTTTCTCTATCTCTCTCTCCCGCACTGTGCTTATCTCTGTATCTCACTCCCTCCATCTGTCTCTCCGCCTCTATCTCTGTGTGTCTCTCACCCTCTCTCATTTCACCAGTCTCTGTCATTCTTTATACACTTCCCTTTATCAGAAGATACACAAGCGCAAATCAACCGTTCTCGCGAACATACGAACAAAAGGTCTTACCATACATAAACACTCACACGCATGGCAGCGCTCCTTCCCCCACCCCAAATATGCACGTGTGTAAACTCAGACACATACCTTCTCGTAGTTTGTTGTACGCACCAAAATTCTATCTCAAATGGACTTAGACTTAGATACTGAAATGGGGCTCCAAAGTTCCAACTTTCTGGCATTATTCAACGCATTGTTCTTGAAATGTTTATGCAACAGAGGCACCGACATTAATTTGTCTCTCCAGCAATGGAAGAGAACACAGGGTCGAAAGGGAAATATAGAAAGAGAGAGGGGACGGACGGATAGATAGATGGTTTCTATGAGTATTGTGGAAACGGTCCTGTAACTAGAGTCCAGATGAAAGGCACCAATGAATTATTGGGATGTTTGGGAGACTCGCTGGTTTAAGGGGGATAATTATTTGATTGCCCCAAACGGTATCCGGCGTTGGGTGTATGTGTCTTTAGTTACACCCCTTGCCTTATCTCAGATGTCAGTAAAAGGTTTCACAAGAAAGACCATGTTTGTCTGCTGGCGCTATCTGTTGCGTCCCGTCCGTAAAATACAACCATACAACCTTTTGATGATTGGTGGTTAGAAGATGCTGTTTGTTGGTTTTGCTTTTTTTTTTTCTTAGGCTAAAACAGCACCTGGACATGGATGGCTGGTGCCTCTATAAATAAATCATTGATGGTCTTTTTGTTCTTCCACCCCAGGTCGTTCGGCCCTGTTTAAACTCGTGTTTATTTTCTCGAGGACAAGATTACTTTGATTATGTCTGTGTACACTCACACACACACACACACTCACACACACACACACACACACACACACACACACACACACACACACACACACACACTCAGAGAGAGAGATAGAGAGACAGACAGACAGAGAGATAGATAGATAGATAGATAGATAGATAGATAGATAGATAGATAGATAGATAGATAGATAGATAGATAGATAGATAGATAGATAGATAGATAGATAGATAGATAGAGAGAGAGAGTGTGTGTGTGTGTGTGTGTGTGTGTATGTATGTGTTTGTGCGTGTGTATGTGAGTGTGTGTGTGTGTGTGTGTGTGTGTGTGTGTGTGTGTGTGTGTGTGTGTGTGTGTGTGTGTGTGTGTGTGTGTGTTCATAGTATGAAGTTTTAAAGTGTTTGAAAACGAATTCACGCTATTTCTGCCATTGCCCCTTGCGTTCAACTACTTCTCGTATTTTTTTTCCTATTTTATTTTTAAGAGAGTTTTTTTGTTCTGTTTAACTTTCACTAACCTTGAGAAAAAGAATCTCTTAAGCCTTATGGTTTTTATTCGTGTCATGGAATGGATTGTGATAGGTACATTTGTATCCTGATAAATGCGAAATCTGATATAATTTAGACAGATTTAAAATTGCTTTTAGCTTTTGTATTGAAGCAGGCTCTATCATCGGATTGCTGTAAGATAATGGTTCTTTCTGTTTATCCAGTAGGCCAAAAGGTCAAGATCCTAAGTACAATCCAAAGTTCTGGACTCACAATAGACTCTTGGTGTAATGTTTGAAATGTGGTACCACTATATTATGTCAGAATGACTTTAATGAGCGTGAACACTTTAGCGAGTGTTTAATCATGGGCTAGTTTTTATAGACAAGAAAAGCGTTCAGTTGGATCTTCTGACACGAGATTGTTGTGGAAACTGTGGAGAGATTTCTTTGCCTAACACGTTTTGGGATATGCTAAGAAACGTCTCCGGCATGGTTCGACGTATCTGTATTGATTTGTCTGGATGTGGCAACATGTGATGAGGAGTTTTGGAGTTATTCCACGCACTGGACATTCTTTGTCGTGTAAATGAATAAGGAATGTGACCGTCCAACATCGTGTCGAAATGAACCTATAATGCCAAAGATAGTGATGCAAAGAAGCAGATTTTGATTTGAACATGCAAGTCGACTGCAATAATAACCTGATCTCAAACGGGTACAACTTTAATGTACTGTCCACAATGTTTTCGACATGAAAATAAGTTCAAGTGGCTAAATCACTCTTTGATTTAGCCAGTCCCGTGTGAAACGAAACAAAACTGCTACAGAAATCAACTGCGACCAAAGCCGCCCTCACATACTTCTCTTGGACGTGACCCACGTGGCCGGAAACGGAAGTAGGCAGTGTTCTGAGCGTTCTCGGTAACCATGGTAATGGGTACCCTACGTGAGCTGCAGCTGGCGCTACAGGAGAAGATCGAGGAGCTAAGGCAGAGAGATGAGCTCATCGATGAGCTAGAAGGGGAGCTGGATGAGAAGGACTCTCTCATACAGGTATGATAAGGAAGGTTATTGGTATTGCACGCTTAGGCCAACAGACATTCTAGGGCTCAAACTGAGAGGAGGGTGGGGGGGGGGGGTGTAAGATGGACAAACGAAAACCTATTCTCTCCTGAGTTAGTTCCTTTGTGGGTAATTGTTGGGGGGGGGGGGTTCTCCAGAAATGTCTGTGTGACTATACAATGGTATACCGAGGAAGATGGTAAGCCTTCATGGAATCTAAGAAATACGCCCCGAAATATACATAACAGTTTTATTTTTACAAATATACAGCTATAGTTTCTTGTATAGCAGAGCTTAAAGTGTATTCACACTCATGAAGCAAAATATGCGAGATAAGATTTTTGCCACAAATGCTTTAGCTTTTAAAAAAATCACTTTGGGTTTTTTTTCTAGGGACTCTCAGTGTCTAAACTGACAAAACGCATATTATCCGTCATTTTATAGTAAAGCATAACTGTAACTTCTGTATACCTTTTTTAGATCTGCTATTGTCACTGGTACATATATTTCTAGATACGAATTCGGACAATCCACCCTCTAAACGCTGTTGCATAGATAAGCTCTAACCCATATATATATATATATATATATATATATATATATATATATATATATATATATATATATATATATATATATATGCCTTAAAGAGCCAATACACGAACACAAAAAGCACACACACACACACACGCACGCACACATACACACACACACACTTACACATACTCACACACACACACACACACACACACACACACACACACACACACACACACATACACACGCACACTCACGGATGCGCTCACGCACGCACGTACTCACACACAAACAACTGATCATAACGGAGAGGCACAAGCAAAAACCAAAATCCTGAAAATGAGAAGAGTAGCATCAACGATTTAAAACAGAAAATTTTGGTATACTTAATATTGTCTCGTAGAAAAAGGCAGCGAATCAATCGATCATTGTAAGACGACTCAAGCACAGGAAAAATTATAGTCTTTGAAAACTGCAATTTGATGTCGTTGTCTGGATTTCACAATACAACGGTGTACGTAGGGTGATCGTGACAATGATATCCATGCTAAAGACATTGAGGTACTTGCGAAAAATATTCTCAGTCACAACAAATTTACTTGTTACTATAAGGGGAACAACTATTTTGCTCCGTCGTGATTTGTTTTTATCATAACTTTATCACCGTCATAGGAAGAAATAAATGACGTAAGTCAAGACAGTGAGTAACATTGACGAAAGACAATGCCATTGGTGAGTCTAAAGACGTAAAGTAGTGTATTGTTTCTAGGAGAAATATGAGGCAGTGTGATGGAATCAGGCGCTCGTCAAAATAATGAAACTGAAGAAAATGGCATTTTTCTGCCAGTTTAGCCATTTTTATCAAATTTTTGTTTTTTGACTTAACACTGTTGCTGTCGAATTAAGAACACAGTTCTGGGTGGACTTTTACTGAAAAACGCTTATCAAAGGCACAAAAAATGTAAGGATTCAGTTTCCACGGACTATCAAGCTATGGAAATAACTAAACTTAGACAGCCATTTCCTCGCTAATTCTACCTTTAAAACCAGGCGACCCCACCTTATTTAACTCAAATGTCTTGACTCTTACTCAAGATAGATGGGCATTTCTTTTACCCATAGTAAGACAACTGTACAAGCATCAAGATTATACCAATAACTCCACATGCCCAAAAAATGACGAGTGCCTGGTTTCACTACGTCTTGAAACAATGACTTCAAAAGAACATCTTCCATACGGCGGCTCTCGCTTCCCACGTGTGATTTTTAGACTTCTCGAATTTGCGCGAAAAAAAAGACACGAGATTGATTTCAGACAGACAGTTAGAAGCAGCCTTCCTCCTAAATAAAATGAATTGTTTCGATTGGGCAATAAACACTTTTCTCTAACTCTATTTGGGAAGAGCAATTTGCTTGTAGGGTGAGGGGGTGTGTGGCTCGATGACTTGGTACAAAATGGACTGGAAAGGACTCCTCTTTCTTTCTTTATTGTAAACGTAAGATTGCAGAAGATAGGATTGGTGTGCGATTTATATGAGAAGGGTAAGGAGGGATAATGATGGGGTCTGGCAGTTGTTTCTTGTGGGGAGGGGATGGAGGTATAGTATCTGAAGCCAAACCTGAATCGTAACAGTACAACAACTGAAATATTGTTTTACTTCATGATTCGGGCACTGGGGCGAATTTACTGAGAAGGGGATGGTGATGTTATGGCGCAGTAGATGGGTTTTTAATGAAAGCGTGGTGCAGCTGTAGCAGGGAATTTAGAATGGGGGTAGGTACGCAACTTTGGTTATTTTCTCTGTGTAACAGAAATAACACGACTTAACTTACAGAAACTGTTAAATCAAACAATGCCACAATCACTTTACCTTATGTATACTAATTCTTCTCACCGAGTAGCCCAGTTGATATAAATTAGTATGTCGTAACCCCAACTGGGAGCGGAACAACCATACAGACTGGGCGCTTATTATAACTCTTTATGTAAGGTGAAAGGTCTTGAATCTAGCTAAACATACACGTAAAGCCTAACTGGTCTTGACTCGACTGAGAATCTGGTATAAAAAAGCAAAGTGTATCGTAATGTTCGGTAATTTCCTATGAGACCTAGTACGGTGTTATTGCCTGTTCAAAACTTTAAAAAATATTTATAGATGAACACAGCTGCTCATCGTAGTGCTATGTGCTTTCATAAACTAATAGTGTTTTTGCTATTTCTGTAGAGCGGGGATAGGTGATGTCTCAGGTTGTTTTTTACGACTCCAAATTGACTGATAACGTTTTCTTGGTGACGCTTTTGTGACGTCGTTTTGGCAGCATATTGGTTTGTAGAAAATGAAAATTTTAAAAACCCAATCAGAAAAGATAGTGTTGATTCGAAGCTTTTCCTGGCACAAAATACGCCAAGTGTGTACTCAAAAGCCAGACCTACATTCACAATTCTAGCGAAAAATTGAAATATTTAGTTGTTACAATTCAATAACATCATAATAATAATCTAAAACTAATAAGGGTTTATTGATAAATATCTAGATCTATACTTTTTAAATTTATATCAAACGGATCGGCTTTTTAGACGCCTATTTTGTGCTGCCTTCATGCCCACAGCGACTACAAACAGAGCTCGACAAGTATCGATCCGTCCTTCCTTCAGCAACTGGCAGCATGAGTCCACACACAGCTCGGAAATCGCACCACCCTGGAGTATCGATACCAAATCAACGAGACTTGATATGTGGGAGTGGGAGTAACGGTGGTGTTGGTGTGACCAATCACAATGGAGGAATGGTGGACGAAGGCGGGGCTGGATTCGCTGGAGTAGGCGGAGTTTCAGGAGTTTTACGTGAAGAAAGAACTAAGCGTTTAGCAATTTCCGCTGAGCCAACAAATTTCAGCAGTCAGGAACTTATGTCTTTGAGGAATAATATCGTGCCCAAGACGTATGCGTAAGTATTAAAGTGTTTGTTTGATGTCTGCTGTATGTATATTTTCTCCAACTGTGACGTCATATCGCCGCTACTTGGAAACATTGTTCTCTCAGTCGCGGGGCTAGGAAGACAAAGTGCGCCCACAGGCTCCTATCCCACATTCCTTTGACCACTCACCGATTTTCCGAATGTCCTGGATTCCATACTTTTCTGCTAGTAACAAATTTCTGTTTTGTTGTGGTTGTCGTGATCACCGTCGTCGTCGTCGTCGTTGTTGTTGTTGTTGTTGTTGTTGTTGTTGTTGTTGTTGTTGTTGTTGTTGTTGATGATGATGTTGTTGCATATGTTGTTGTTGAAATTGTTGCTGTTGTTGTTGCTGTTGGATTTACTTGGATCCAGAGCTAGAATCTTAGCATTCGGCACATGTCCATAGCTGCTCATCTCTCCTTCTCAGCGTCCACCTCAGGGTTTTCCTGCTAATTGTCTCCATGAGGAGCTGGTTTGAGACACACCTGACAGTTCCTCGGAGCAAACTTTTTTCACTGTGCCCCACACACACTTTTCTTTTATTGTGCTGAGTGTGTGGGAGTCTGTCTCCTCTTGGTCGTGAAGGCTATCCTTGCATCTGGCGATCATCATTGGTGGGTCGAGCATGATTCGGCCATTGGGTGCTGCTTTGCCGGCAAGTTCATCAGCACGCTCATTTCCGTGCACCCCGGCGTGACCAGGGCAGAACACCCTCTGTTGCTGTTGTTGTTGTCGTTATTGTCGTTTTTATTATATCTACTGTTTTTTGTTGTTGATATTGTTTGTTACTGTTAAGGATGTATTTGTTACCGTTGTTGATACTGGGGTGTGTTTGGTTGATGTTTTTTTTTGGTTGCAGTTGTTTTTGTTGCCCTTGATCCCTTCTGTGCAGTGCCCCGAAGAAGTTTACAGATTTTCCCCACCAGCTGTGGTATCCCACAGAGCGTGTTCTAGGTGTCCGGTCTCGACATAAAGAGGAGGGGGGGGGCTCTGATGCCGCCTAAGCTATACAGTAGGAAAGATGGAAAGCGGGTATGCTCTTGGCACAGTTCAAGGGCTACATTGGGTATAATTTAAGATTGAATTGTGTTTATGAGAACATTTTAAAACACCCCTCTCTGGAGAAAAAATAGGAAAGTTGTGACACTATTACACACGCGTGCGCACACAAACACACACATACACACATTCTCACAAACACACACACACACACACACACACACACACACACACACACACACACACACACACACTCACACACACACGCACACACGCACACACATACATAATTCTGTCGAGACAAACAGAGATATATATTATACGGAGACCACAGAAGAAGAAAATACGTGTGCTTAACAGTGTAAACATTGCGTCTCTTTGATGGTACTTAAACATGATTATTAGCGCCAACAGAGAGTGACAGTAAAACTCAGGAGGCCTGTAATTAACGATTATATTACATCCGTTTTATAACTCTCAAAGTTCTTTAGAGCGGAGAATTAGTATATATATATATATATATATATATATATATATATATATAGGAACTATAAGTTGCGGGTTGACTTCTCGTGTTTATTTCCCCCTGATCTAGTGCCAAAAATTACCCCAAGAATGTAACCCAGGGGAAGGGGAATGGGAGGATGCCTTGTCGAATTCGTGAACGAAGTCATCCGTACATACCCGGAAAGCTAATTGGAGAAATGTGACATTAAACTGTTGCAAATATATAGTGTTTTCTCTCGTCTATAAGCTAAAGACGTTGATTCAGCACTTGATCCCAATGGGATTTCGTTGTCAAATAGCATCATCGCACTCCGTTTGAACTTCTTGACTTAGCAAAAGTCGTACCTTTTGCCCACCCATTTAGCTAACGACGTGGGATGAGTCCAAAGTTTGCAGTAACGGATGATGGTGTGGTGTGGGCCAAAGCAAGGATGCAACAACTTTGTGGCAGGGAAAAACAAGATAGATTCTAATAAAAGCAAACAAAAAGCAATCCTTTTTGTGTCTCTATGGTAGTTTTGTACTGTTATGCCTAGACCGTGCACTTTTATGTAGTTCTCGTCCACTATTTAGCTCACCATTTAACCCATTTTGGAGCCATATGACGGGCAAGAGGTTGGGAGCGTTAGAAAGGGGGAGGGGGTGTTTGGTACTGCCGGCACTCGACTATAGCAAGTCTGCTATTTTTTGGTCTTCTTTTTGGGCACCTTGGTGCGCACGCTTTGCAGTAAAGTTTTTATTTATATAGAGAAAAGAGCAACGGCCATGACACTTCAAGGTCTGGGATATGATTCCAGTCTATGGTCTCTATACACTTGGAGAAATGAAGAACCTGGTCATGCGTAAATGAACGAAGAGAAAAATGCCCTTTGATTGTCGATTTTCCGAAGATCGATATAGAGGCAGTTGATGAGGCGGAGGGACTTCTAAAGTTGTTTGTTACGATTTACGCAAGGCTAAACAAGATTGTGATGCCAAGATCAGCAGCCTGCACCATTAGCAGTGGGTGTTCCATTTGACACGCCAAGCGTGGACAACTCTAATTCGATGTTTTTCACCACATACCATTTCTTTCTAGAATCGAAGATGTTGAAATATTGCGCAACAAAATCGTACGAAAATGAGCCATTTCGGCTAAATGCTGTTCTTTAGGAGGCATTGGGACGAAATACATCTTTAGATCTTTTTAGAAACTTTGGGTGCGTTATACTATTCTTTCAGACTGATGTGTCCTTTTTGGTAATACCAGCATGGCTTACGAAAGCTGCTTACTCCATCGTGTATAGATAAGTGAAAAAGAACCAAACGAATAAACACACGCACACACACAGACATACACATACTTTCACACACTCGCACATTCGTACACACACGCTAACGCACACGCGCACACGCACACACACGCTTGCAAAGCACCAGTGTATCCTTAAGACGTAATGATACTTAGATCTTGTACCAGAACTATTCAGCGCGTAGGAGCAGTCCGCCTTGTATGACTTCACTTTACTCTCTGTGGAGTTTCGGTCCACCGGTTGGGATGGAAGAAATTTTTTAATGAAAAAACTGATTCTTTCTGGTTGTTTATCTTTATCATAGGGATTGAGATCAGGGTTTTTTTCGCGTCTCGTGTAATCACTTTCATCATTTTGTTGAAGTTTCAAAAGACATTCTTTCTTTAACTTAATTTACACCTGAATGCAATTCCCTGTAAAATGACAACTATGACCACTTAAGAACCAAAACAGTTACAGTAACGATGATTATATCTGCAACAAGCTGCAAGAGCAACCAAAAAAGAAATACAACCAAATCAGTGCGCTACAGCAGAAAAAAGTAGCCAAGTAAAACAATAACTTCAAGAAGTGCAACGAAGCAGTTTTAGAGATGTTTAACTGGAAATTGTTTTCCCCCATTGCTTTTCATAGACCTGAGCGGTCAGACAGATTCCTGAACTAGTGTCTGAAGTTTCCTTATTATAGCATGACTCCC